TTCCACCTACAATGCATATATAGTTACATAGTTAGGTTGAAAAAAGACACAAGTCCATCGAGTTCAACCCATAATCTGCGCTGCATTGGCACTGGTGTGGCAAAATGTCTGCCATTTTATTACAGTGCCACCAATGCATAGGAACGGTTAACCAGATAAGAGTTAAGATTTAGTACCTGCTTACTTTTAGCCTCTACAAGTGTTTTGAACTGTGCTGACTTTGTTATTTATGACTTTTTTTGTTTTATTTTTGTCTTGCAGTACCATCTTCCCTTTGAGTAGCAGTCCCCAACTCCAGTGCTGCAGGCACCTCATTCCCGGGCCTCTGTGGTGCTCCTGATGCCCCTCACCCACTGTTGAAGATCCCCGGTGGGCGAGGGGACAGCAGGGATCCTGCACTCCCAGCTGTGATATATAAGGTAAGGGGAATTTGGACCTGTATAGTAGCCATACTAATGCTGTGTGTTTTTTAATGTGTCATTTATTTATGCTGTCCTTGGAGAAGCAAGGTACATTGGTACATGTCAGCCCTTTTATATGGTTACATAGGTAATATGATTGAGAAAGTCTTATGTTCAAGTTTACAAGTCCTGTAGTTTCAGTCCAGATGAACGAAGGAGAAAACCCCCTGGAGCAAAGGAAACAAATATCTTCTCAACTACCCCAAGGCCAAATATAATCAGGGGGGGCACTCTGGCACGGATAAATATTTCCATTAGAGTCTCCAAAAGCTATATGAAACCAATAGGTGTGTTTAACTTAATCTTTCAAAGTGGAAGAAAAGATATATTAGAAATATACAGTATATCTGTGGGGTACCAGAGGATGGAACAATCCCCACTGTGTGAACACTGAGGGAAGTGTCTCTTATTGATGGACACATTTTATGTAGGTGTTAGGATAGCAGTTGGTCAGATTGTCTCATGGTTTTTGCAGGTTTCGTTAGCTACATTATCTTTTAAACCCCAAAAAATGTCCCTTGGTGAGCAGCTCTGCTTCACAAGGACCTAATGATGCAGTAGCTTGCTTTGTTTGCATCAGTGTTTAGTTATACCTTGGGTATTGGGCCATTGCCAGGTTGTTGATTATGGTTATAGGATAAGGACAACTGGTGTGAAATTACAGTGTAAACAACAGGCCAATTTAATTATTTCTGATGGAAGCATTTTTTTTTATATGTTATTACAGAAGACACTGCCTTAGGACTATCACATTCAGAGAAATGGGATAGCTTAGCAACGCTTACAGTATTTATAGCTTACTTGTAGCATTTCATCCTAGCTGTGATGTACCGGTATCTATACGAGTAGACACTCAGTGGCATGGTAATACATTATTTGTACAGGGCTGCAGTTTGGAAACTCATTTAAACAAGTTGGTCTGCAGGCTGGAAATGTGTTTGCATTTTGTTGGTTGGTAGTATGGTTTAAGTGCATGGAAATGTCATGTTTGTTTGTATATGAAATAAACCACTTTGTTGTTTTTAGTGTCCGGTCTTATTTGTTAGGTAAAATAACGGCTTATTTCATAGAACATCTTAAGTCCTGCTTATAAATATAAAAGAACATCTCGCTCATTAGCGCAGCATAAGTGCAAAAATAAGTCTACCATGATGGGAAGGAAAAGACTAGAAATAGACTATATATCTATAGATCTAGATCTAGATATATATATATATATCTCTAGATATA